TTTGTGGAACTCTTAGAGAATTATAACTTCCCTGCCCACTAATGCTGCTTAACCAATATTGATCCACAGTACAATACTTCCAACACTGTCTCAGTTGTCCTTGTCATTTCTAACATCATTTCTATGATATAAAACATCTGAACACAAAGGATATTCCCAGAGGTAGGTTGAATGAGTTCTTTCATGTACCATGAATTAGTAACATCTCAATGATGTTAAAGAAGACGTGTTCCGGAGGCCAACTTCCTTGATGCTGGTTTGTATGTATAAGTCTTTATAAGGAGAGTGTAATTTTTTAGATAAATGTGTATTTATTTATCATTCTTACCTATCCCTAAAATTAGAATTTATGTTCCTATGTTAGTCTTTCTCAACCCTGGCTGTGTATCAAAATTGTCTGTGGAGCCAGGGGCCCTTTGGGAAACAGAACGTCCAGAGATGACTCTTGGGCAGCTATGTATTTTAAATTTTCCACAAGGCATTTTGATGGACAGCTGGGGTTGAGAACTACTACTGGGGGCTTACTTCCCATGTCTGGAAGATGAGAGTGGGCATGAAATGTAGTAACTGTCATGAGCGATCATTAGTTGGCCAGGTTCTAGGAAATAGACAGAGAGAAAATTTTGTAGCTCTAAAGTAGAGCAGAGTGGAAGGAATAAAAATAAGAAGGTTCAGATGGAAAATCCAGCAGTGATTTATCATCCTGACAAAACCAGCCAGACATTGACATAGGTAGGGGTTACGCCATCTCTATTCTGGGACATAGTCAACATTGGCCAAAAAAATTACTTGATGCATTTCTACCCAAAACCACCCTGCTTGCCTGCCTTTGGCAGAGCCTCCAAAAACATTCAATTGCAAATGAGATGTACAATTTTATGGTCTGTGAACAAGGAAGAATATTTGAAATATGTGAATTCAGAAACTGCTAGATATTACAGAACACAATGTTTCTTGTTAATACCGTAAAAAAAGAACATTTACATCATCTGCCAATGTGATTACTTAGGTAAAATCGAGTAACTACATCTTTTTCCCGCAGTATTATTACAATGAGCACAAATTATCATCCTATAAGTAAGTATCAAAACATTTGCACCTTTTAGGTGCTTTTTTAAAAAAAACTTTAGTAAGTAATGGCGGAATTTCAATGCTACTTTAACCAAATTATTTCAAGGAAATGTAAAGTTATTGGATAAATAGCAATTTAAATTATGGGGGAAATGTCTAGGGGAGGGATTTTCTGAAAACAGACTTTGGATAAAAAGCCTTCAAACTTATGATGGATTGAGTTCCTTTGTATAGGAGAAAAGTAACTAAAGTAAGCACATGCTGATCTTTAGAAATTGGCAAAATAAGCAACTACTGGGTGGAATGATTTCAAGATTGCTGGGTGAGCACCCCCAAATCCCAGCTCAACACTCCAATGTTGAGCATCCTTAGAAGCTTATTTGTCTGAAGGTTCTCCCCAGAAATGACAGTGTGCTGCAGAGCTGACACTCTAAGTTGGTATCAGTCATTTTCCCAAGGTGTGAATGGAGAAAAACCACAGCCAAGCTCTCAGTCTGCCTGCCGCTGCCCCGTCTCCTCCCAGGCTACTCTGCCTCTGCGCCCTCACTTCAAATGAAAGTCGGCCAGGCTCTGCTCGTGATCGTCTTTCCACTCCTATTGGCCTTTAATTTCTAGACAGACAATTGGCAAAAGCATTCAAACCCTAATTTGTAAATTCTCAGAGGAATTCACATATATGTGATTATATTTGGCCATATGTTGTCTGCTCCATCTTGCCCAGAGCTTGTGTTTCCTGTGTGTAGACTGCTTTTCCAATGCCAGCATCTCAGCTCATCCTCTTTCCTCACTTCCAGCTGTGCCCTGGTCTGATGATGACTAGCCTTACGAGAAGGGGAAATTCAGAAGTGTATATTTGAGAAGGGAGTCGACTCACAACTGCTTAGAATTTCAAAAGAGAGAGGAGTTGGGTTAGGTTTCAAACCTAACAAGGGCTTGTGGGCTGCGTGGTCAAAGGGCATATTTAATAATCTGAATATATGACATGGTGGCACAAAAAAGGTGGTGAACATGGCATGGCCTCTGAATTCTAAATGGCAGTAAAGTGAAATGTGGGACAGACATGAGAAGGAGCCATGGAAAGGCTTTAGATAAGAAGAAAGAAGGAATAATTGTAGAAGAGGATAGTAGAATAGTTAAACTGATGGTATGTGAATTAATTCTACTTGGAAGGTTTTTTCCTATTGATCTCTAACTTTCACCAAGGTTATTTCAAGTGTTCTTCCCATCCTTGCTTCACTTACCCAGAGTCCTAGGGGAGAGCATTTGATTGGCTATGCTCAGGTCACTTGCCTGCCTCCTGGCTTTATCACAGGTGGGAGAAATAGATTCTGTCAACCCTTCCTGCCTCCTGTAGTTGGAGACAGGAACCTGGAGTTACTGGACCATCAAGACTATACACACTGAGGACTAGGAAATTGTGATGCTATTA